TACACAGCGACTGAATGAATGAGTCAATGAACTGAATGAATCATCTGTATGGTGTCACTATTTTCTTCGTATGTGAAGTTCCATATTCCCCAGGATTTTCTTCTCTGACGTGAATCAACTGATTGCAACAACACAGGGCACCATATTGGTCCAACCACTAGAGGGCAGCAGACAATCACTTACATCAGCAAATCCGACCGTCTCCATCACCAGTCACTATGCAGACAACTGAACAACAGAAGAAAGCAGCCACTAGAAGGCATACAGATGAGGAGTCCTGCTACCTCTACACAGGAGTGGTAAGATACTTAAGCAGTTATATCCATTCATACTGTTTACAGGTTTAAGACTTTATTTAAATGCACTATTTTGGTTAGATTGACTCAAAAACATGTCTCTAACTGTGGGGAGTTAGTTTGAGCATCTTTACTTGGCAGGAACTCCTTCTGGGAGGAAAAAAACAATTAAAAACACCAGCTCTGTCTCCTCAGCTTAAGTTAAAGTTTGTGTGGAAGACTGAACTAAAGACAAGACCAGCATTTGGAGAGATAGACTAACTATTGTTAAATGAAAAGATTAAAACTTTACTCATTAATGGAGTACTTATATATATAAGTTTTGGGGATTTTTTGTACTATGACTGTGTCTGAAATTGCTCCCTATTTAGTGCACTATATTTCATTTTAGTGTTATATATATATAATAGTATAATATAATATATATAGTGTATATATATTTTAATATTCTTTTTTATCCTTTATTTAACAGGACAGCTCAAGAGATGCACAGCAAAGGACCACAGGTCAGATTCAAAGCCATGTCCCCTGCAGCAAGGACTCAGCCTTGATACATGGGGGACCAGCTCTAACAGGTGAGCTACCAGGGAGCCCTGTATGCACAATTTCTACAACAGAACAAAAGAGTGGCGTCCATGGCATGTATTCTACTTTCACATCGCAATGCGTCATATTTTATAGATGCAAAAATGACTGTTGTGCTGCTCTACACCTGTCCGAGATTATTCATAAATGTCCCGAATCTCAATTCACTGACACGTAGTAATAGTAAAAAACACACTCATAGTTTTACACAAGCAAAAACAGATGAGGCTCAGTCTAAAATGTGAGCAGGTGGTTTGGGCTGCAACAACAGACTGCAGAGATGATGTTGCAGAGCTTTTCACACGTACTAATTTTGCATGTGAAAAAGTGTTAAAGGCTATACTTGAGCTACATTTTCCTGGCATGGCTTAGACCCAGTGAACCATTTGGAAGACGAGGTAAATGCCAATGAACACAAAGCAATCATCAGTGCTCACGATCATTGCATGAGAATTGATGATCCTGAGCCTAACAAAGCGCTCAAAGGGGGATTCTGTGGCAGCACCCAAAAACAGCTCAACAAAACACCAAAACATCACATCTCTCGCTGAATGACTTCAACAAACTTCCAGACACTTGTGAAATCAAAGCCAAGAAGCTGTTCTTGGTGGCTCATGGTTCCAACTTTTTCTTGGCGTTTGGTTTATTTTGGCCTGTAAGTGTCGGTTTGCTCTCTCTTCAATCTTCAGTTTCTGTAATTATAGTTACAAAATCACAAGACAAGAGTTTATTCACTTGTCTAACCACGAATTTCAGCCATGAAATCAATTTACACAGCTTTGCCTTTCTCCAATAATACAATTAGTTTTGTTTCTGCTCTGACCTCTTTCTACCACGTAGACCTTTTAATGGCCGCAGCAAAAGTTCACTCTCTGACTTCTGAAGCTGCCTGTGAAGAGCAGGGTGATCCATGACCCGCCTTTAAGTACAATTTCCTGTAGAAAAAGAATCCCCTAATTTCTTCTAACTCTGCCATTAGCTACCATAAGCATGACCGGCCCGTTACCTTTTGTTTGGGCTCCCTTGAAACCACTATCTATTAGGTGGCTCAAATCAAATCCCTGCAGCCTGAGTTTAATAAGAGAATATTTTTGCTCCTATATTTTAACCTTGTTATCCAATATCCTGTCCTTTTAGTCTGCAGTGTGTTTTCAGCACACAGAGCGACTCTGCCAAGGAGCGTACGTCAGTTCACAACAGAGACCTGACATCCTGCCTCTCGGAGCACAAAAGTTCAAGCTTTTACAGCTTTGTGATATTCTGCTACACTGGCATTAGATTAGTCAGGGTTACATGAAGCAGGTTTAATAGTTTAGTTCTGACCATTATTTTTAGTCTAGGTCTACCTGAGCTATGTCTATAGGTCTGTTGGACCTCATATGAGGTTCAGTATGAGGCTGTTCGAACATGTTTGTCTTATTTTACTGGAAACTGCAGTTTTCTTTTTGCATAATTATTTAAACCTGGGCAGAAATAATTTAGCAACTTTTCTTAGTTAACCTATCGTTAGTCAGAGTCATGAAATCTCTTCTGTAGCTGACAGACACATAATTACTTTAATGGGAATGAGAAAATTGATTTGTGCCAATTTTCTGAACAGCATTTGATTTAAATAACATCCACATAATGTGCCTGCTGGGTGAAAACTTTGTGTTTCTACAAAGATAATTTTTAAGGAATGGAAGAAGTGCACTTATAAACTGTTTTAAAAGCTCATGAAATTTGCTCAGTTTGAAGAGAAGCGTGTTATTCTGTGATGACAGAATTACATGAAAAATATCACAACTGATCGTACCGAGCACTCCAACGCAGGAGGCTGCATCAGAGGGGAGGCAGAGTACTGTACATCTACTATTGCAGAGTTAATGGTCATCTTACCATCTCATTTACTGTACTTCCTCATCCCAGGAAAGCTCTACCTCATATCTGCACTGCCTCTGAGGCTGTTCGGGAGACTTTTAAAGTGGAGGAAACTAGAAACAAAGCACAGTCCGGGGACATGGGAGTGCAATCTTGAAATGGAAAACTGAAATGGGGAAAAGGGTCTCGAGCTGAAATGTTATTTGGATGATAGCCTGCATAAGAAAGGAACTGTGTTTGGTTTCTCATTGAGAGTCACCAGCAGGGCTCATTGTGATAAGAAAATAAGTCTAATGTTACCTGATCTGGTATAATGTGGACCAATTACCACTCCATTGCACTTCATTACAGGACTGTAATAGGGCCGGGGGTCAGTGCTTGAGATGGAGTGGCAGAGGAAAATTGAGTCGTCATTGATAATATGATAAAAACTGACAGTGAGAGGCCCCTCCAACAAATTATTGAAATTTACAGTTGATAGGGAAACACTATAACCTCATTTGGTAAGCAGCTGGCAAGCACTTATACAAAGCAGGTCCTCTAACACAATGAGAGGCTTATGGAGAGAGGGAAATCCAAAACTATCACAGAATAGTTTTAGACCCCTGCTCATTGGGTTCTGGCACTGACTGTGCATGTGTTCAGTTTTTAGAAATATCTAAAGTCCCACAGGCTAAACCAACTGGACGGTATTTTTTCTCTTGAACAGGTGCATTGTGGAGCCCATCATTATATGTTGCAACAATAATATGCTGACAAAAAAAATCTGTCTGAACAAACAAATCAATCCTGGCTGACATCATTGTCATTCTTAGTGTCTCTCTGTAGTCGAATAGATAAGTGCGGAGGCTAACAAAATATAAAATCTCACCGTTTCTGTAAACCACTGTGCTCTTGGAAAAGGTACGGCAACCATTTGTTTGCCTCAGTTAAAGTGCCTCCATTTGAGGCCCCTTGAATAAATAAATCAAATAAACTACCGTCAGACATACATTTTCAATCCATCAAGGTAATCAGATTCTGTTTACCTGAATGGGAACTATTCTAAAATGTTATTAAAAACTTAAATGGAGTTTAGGTGTGGAATAACTAGGCACAGGAAATGATGAGCAAACAGCAGGATAAGATTCCAATTACTATTAAACAAGCATTGCATTGACTAGTAAAGAGGAAAATAGCTTTGACATTTTCTGCAGCCGGAGCTCCCACCTGACAGGCTTTGTCGTGTGAGAGCACGGAAAATTCAATTCATAGGCTTTTAGACATGAGGTAGTCAGAGCTTTCTCCCAAAATATTTCTCTTAAGGCCCATTTTCACTTATTCGACCTGTGGTCAACATCCATGTGTGTGGTTAAAGAATAGATATTTAATAATTGTTTATATTTTAAACCATTATTTTTTGCCAGTTTGATGGAACAACTGGGATAAATAAGATTTAAAACTATTAAAAGCTATTATGATAGCA